CGTTTGAATACCTTACAATCGGATTATTTTCTACTCTTACCAGTACGGTGCTGACATTCATCCACGTGTACATTTCATCGGCAAAGAGCCTTTGACGAGAGCGTACAAGTTTCCGATATTATATCTTCCAGCCGCTAATAAGCATAATCCTTCTAATTAGTAAATAAGTTTGATACTGAAACCGATTTCCTTGATATATTGATATAATCGCTGGAAGCCTGGCATAGAAACGTCATTCACGAACTTGGATGTAATCTGCCGTGGTGAAAACGCACTAAACTCAAAGAGTACCGATCACAAACGGGTTTCGTGCATACACCAAATCCACGACCACTCGTACAAACCGATGCTAGGTATTATCCTGGCATACAGACATGCTTGTTTAGAGTTTAACAAGTAGCGACTCGGAAATTTTGCCTGGAAAATCCGACGGATCACGCGGGTATAACATTGAAACTAAATCCGGATCGCGCAGCCGGTTGAAATATCGAAACATCTCTATATTTCTCCACGTCCTTCGCAGTATTTTGCCCGCTTCCAATTATTTGCGAAACCTCCATCATCGTTGATCGCCATAGTTAGTTCCTTTCTTCCTCTATATATATCATGTGTCTAGAACGTGTCTAGAAATTGCTATATGCCCAATATCTTTCCGCATTGGATCACAATTATATTTAATTCTTATCCAATTTTAGTATCCATAGAGAGGTTAGGGTTCAGTCAACGAATAAATCATATCCGCTATTAATTTAAGGAATGTTCACATTTAATCTTAGGATCCAGGATTAATATTCTGGTGGACCTGTGAAGGTCTTCCCATGGGATTGCAATGATGGCTGCCCAAGTTCCTATGGTGCTGACACGGTTGGTATTCCCTTGGTCGTTGTGCTTTGATAGGCTACAGGTAGAAGGATGCAAAGAGGGGATGCGTTTCGTCCTGGGCCTGCTAGTGGACTCGTCAGTAAGGCTTTCTAAGAGGATACTTAGGTAACATAGGGACTTCTATATATGGGAGGTCGAGGATTCACTGAGGACTTGCGAGAAAGTCCTCGAACCTCCTTCAAATCGAAATCCATCTATCGGCGAGGGTGAGAATGATGCTGCTACAGACATATTTTTGTTGATTCACTCTGGCCCTCCACTGCTTGTGACCTAGCTTCTGTCACCTAACAGTGAGTGCATATATTTGGAACAGGCTTCTGAAATATCTTCAGATAAGTTTGTGGTTCGGACGATAAACATGGAACCAAAATCTCTCCAAAATCTCTTCTTTCAGACCTCTACTAACACTGTACAGCAATGATGAGTAACTAGAGACTCTTCGACTATTTCCCTGCAGTCTAACAAAACGTTGACAGTTCTGTAGAGTCTCTACTACGCTGGAGAGTACTTCAGTTTAAATATTTTCGCTGATTAAGGACTGACTTTGAGCTGGACTGAAACTGACTCGGTGCTTTATTCTGCAACTGTCTAGAACTCTGACTTGATCTCTGGCTGACTGACTGACTGATTCCTTCTGACTCGTCCACACCCTTACACCCTTATTTAAAGTCTAAGCTTTCTTCGTTGATCACTCATTTCCCAGGTGCTTCAAACCCTTGGACGTATTGCTAGACTTTCGTTCATTGCTTGCTCTCGACTCGGTCATAAATATCTCATCCATACAATTCTTACACGCGGTGACTTGTCCATCCACATCCAGTATTCCCTGCAGAAACACTTGGACCTAATAAATCCTAGTAAATTCTAAAAATATCCTACATTTCCAAAGTGTCAATCCTAGAAACAGCTGTATTCAACTTGACTTGTGACCCACGTGGAATCTTAGGTTTCCAATTTCAATTTTTCATACTGAAAAATAAAAGTTGCTCATCCTTGCTGTACACCAAACGTCCTTTGTTCGAATCTCTGATCCAACACTCTCCACGTAAACGTCACCATTTCCACACTGCTCCTACTGGATTTATACACTAGTAAATACCAATCAGTTCATCTTTATTTCCATCTCAGCTATCAGGCCAAAGTGAGCAGCCACGAGCAATGCCCCTGTTGTACAAGCGAAACGAAATTTCAGTTACAGCAAGCCAGGTCTTTTCCATCGCTGTGTTCCAACGTTTTCCAATCGATTTCTTCGTTTTTCCTTCTTTTCTTTCTTCCCTTCTTTCATCTACGCCCGCGAAAAAGCTCTGATAAACCGCTGCTCTCATCAGCTAATGCACACGTACGCGTACATCCGGTCTGTCGACTTCCTCGTTGCCGATTGAGCGCATCCGCGAGCGGGAAAAACGGATTCCGATTGTTTCGACTATTCTGATCTTTTTTCCTATGGTCGGATAAGCCAGCAAAATTGGAATTCGAATGTGGAGAGATCGGAATCCGCGGCGAATTTTGGTTTCCCAGGATTCCCGGGCTTGTTTACAGCGTGGTGCCAGCGTGGCTATCAAGCAGCTTTATGGCTGCAACATTCCACGAAATGGAAGTATCGTATCATCCAGTAATCCCCGCGTTCGCTAGTTCAAAGGTTAATTCAGATCGAATGGCTCGCTTCCGAGTACTTTTTCTCAGTTAATGCACGATTTTGTTCTCTTTTTATTTGACTACCACGCTGGTCTAGGGAGCATGGCTAGAAGAGCATTTGTTGCTCTGTTTGTTTAATAATTTTTCTGTAATAATTAGGCAGTTAAATGGTTTCATTGGATCTTTAGTATCGGTGAGGACCTAGTGTTACAGGTATAAGCAAAGTATTCTGCCTATTATACTTGTAAACTTCATAATTGCTCTTATAATGGCGACTGAGCACATGTTAGACAATCAGTGACTCATTCTAGACGTGAACACACACAAACACACATCCACACGCATACGTTATATATGAATATATTTCTTTAAGATATCGCGATTAGTATGCTAAATCGGTGACGATCTCACAGGTTTCTTCATAGTAGAGAAAGTGAATATTTCAGTTTCAAAATAATTGCTTGGAATTCATGGTCGACATGAATGATAGAATTTCAACTATCTTTGATTATAGTCAACCATTCGAACATTATAAAAATTAGAATAACTTTCATTTTTATAAACTCTTTTATTAATTATATCCTTCGTTTACAAGTGTAAAATATATTCCAATTTAAAAAGCGCGCTTTTCCCATCGCGCTAAAAGGTAACTAAATAAAAGGTAATTAAAGGTAATTAATTATTAAATGCCATAAAATTTCGTCGGTATATTCAACATGCTATCAAAAAGCGCCACTATCAGCGAATACGGATAAAATCTAATAAATAAATCCCAATACCCGTGATGAAAATCGTCTATAAAAGCATTCGGTATATCGTGAGTAAATAAAGGCTCAAAATGAGTGACCGGGTACTCGTGAGAAATTAGTAAGTAACGTGACGCGCGAGTGACCCCCAACGAGAATCGTATTAATCGGTAACGAGTACGAAGTGTCCTAATTTACCGTGACAGACGATACGAGAATGGCCAGACTAACTGGCACTTAGGCTTTCAGCCGGAAGCCGCAAATTACGCGGCCGCTTTGCATCGATGCGTAACCGTCAGCTCGGGCATGCATAATTAATCAGAAGATCATCACCGGGATGACTGGCCAAAATACACGCGATTGCGCTTCCAAGTTTCGTTCCACGGTTCGAATAACTTGCTCGCGAATCCTCGTTATTCTAACGATCCAACTTTCCAAGGAAGAAAAAGACTCTGTTATTTTTTGACAGCCTCTACGTCGATGCAACAATAGCCATCGAAGTCGCTGTATACTTATCACGAAAAATGAAATTCGTTGACGAGATCCGTCGTTTAATCCCTACCAGTGATATTTAACCCCGAGTCTCAACGCTGAACCCGAAACTGAGGAAGCTCGAAGGAATCGAGACTCTAGTGGAACAAAGGATACTTGTCAGCACAACCGCTGGATCCTCTTCTCGAAGGAAGAAAGAAGTACGAGAACTTGGAGGCTACCTGTTTCCAAGGGAACGTCATAACAATCGTGTGATCCGTTTCTCCGATCGATGGTTATAAATTAATCTCTTGTATACTTCGCTATGAGGACCCGCGAAGCTCCAAGTCCTCAGGGACAAGGCGATCTTCTCGAGCGAACGAACGAACGGATTGGCTGCCGTAAAGAGGCAAGAATGCTGCAAACTTTCCGCGAACTGCTCGTCACAAGTTCGTCATATTCATCCGGCTGAGATTCCAGACGGATTATCCCTTCGTGCTTTTCCAACCCGTCATGTTCGCGCAAACTTCGCAAGAACGGTCGCTTAAACTCGGGCAATAAATGGAAAACTGCCGTTGCCCTTCGAGCATCTCGGCAGAAGTCAACGGGAAAAACGATAAACTTGCTGCCACCTCGAAATTCCCTTTTCCCCTGCACTGTCTTTCGTTACCTGTCATTTTCTCATAGGGCATTCGCGAACCACCTGTTTCTAAACAGTGTTTGATCCTGTTCCCGAAAAGAATGGCGAATGCATACCTGACAGGTGTGTATTAAAGGGACATCGAAGAAGTTTCCCTTCAGACGTCGGGGAGGCATCGTTGGTCCGAGTGAACTCTGGACCTAGCTCCCTCTGAACTGTGCCTCTCTTTGCCTTCCGTTCGACGAATGCGTAATAACGTGGAGAACCCCGAGAAAGGGAAAAGAATCTTGCGGATTGATCCTCGAATTTCTTTCGCGACAGAACTTTTTCGCGAGATTGTTTGCCAACCTGCTGGGAATATCTCGAGTGCCAGCGATAAACGCTCATCTAGGCTGATCCCTTTCACCAGGACGCTGCTCTGAATCCTAATGGCACTTGCCTCTCGTCGATTTAAGGATGAATTAAACAGCTGTACCTATTCTTCGACTCGCGCTGCTCGATGGGGACTTAACCTCTTTCTTTCATCTTCTTGGCACATTCTAAGCTTCCAAGATGCCTCCGCGTCTTTGAGACTTGGTCACGATGCGAGTGAAATGCATCAGCTTTGTTTGCTACGTAATTCTTGGTCAGTGTTTCTTCTTGCTCACGGAGTCCCTCTTCGGCAACTCTTCTAAAGACGCCTTTGGATAGGCAGCTGATATTCTAGGATAGGACTGGACCTGCTGATGCTGCTCGTCGTACTGCTTAACTTTCTTCTTCAGTATGTTCCAGAACTCCATTTGTTCCTCCTTCTTCTGCAATTCGATGTCATCTTCTGTCAGTTTTAATTTCTTGCTCCTGCGCAAGCTTGGCTGTTTCTTGACTGTCACCGCCGGTCTGACGATTCGTTTCGTCTTCTCTACTTTGGCCACGTGTTCCTTTGCTTCCTCGTCTTCCACGGTTTCCTTCTTGGCCTCCGATTTATCCTCGGTCGGTGTTTCCGCTCTCACCTTCAGCTTCCTCTCGATGGCCCACGAGCTGAGCTTCTTCGCCAGCGCCTTCTCCTGCCAAGCACGTATCTCCTTCTTGGCTTCCTGCAGCTCGCGTCGAAGTACGTTCGGCGGGGTGTTTTTCGCTGCCAAGATCTTCCTCCTGGCCGCTGGAGATGGTACAGGGATATGAATGATATAATCGGTCAATCGTCTGAACCACTTGTTATCCATGATGAACGATCTGCTCTTCTCGGGGACGTCATCGGCCATCATTTTGTGTTCCTTCATCCTCTGCAATTGTCTTGCCTTTCGTTCCGCTGCAACGGGGATAATTGATTTTTTAAATCGAGATCGTGATCTGATCAGAGGATATTTAATTCTGCGATAGAAAGTCGCTGGAGGCTTATTAATATTGGAAACTATCAGAAGAGTTCAATTTAATAGCTTTCGAATTTTTATATCTGCACTTGTTAATACAGGTGTTGGTATGGAACCTAAACTTGGTATAGAAACAATATGGAAACGATATAAAATCGTATAGAATTGATATAGGATCAAGGTAGAACCGATATACACTCCCTGTATAAAAGATAGCACACCTGTGCCATTTTTAATTTTTGGCAGCCTTTAATTAAATAGACTAACTTGATCTCCATATCCTGAAATCGTCTTTCTTTCAATTTATTGGCTTTTGAATTTTTGAATTTTTGAATTTGCAGTTGTTACTATAGGTGTTGGTATAGGCCCTAAACTCGGTGTACATACAATATGGAAGGGATATAAAATCGTATAGAACTGGTATAGGACCAATGTAGAACCGATATATACTCTCTGTGTAAAAGATAGCATACCTGTGCCATTTTTAATTTTTGCCAGCCTTTAATTAAGCAGGTTAACTTAATCTCCTTAGCCTAAAATTGTAATGTTATCATTCGATAAAATTGAAAAATTATGTATACGTCACCTGTAAACTAGAAATTAACATAAATCCTTTTCACCTTGAAGTGTAGAACCAACATCAAACCGATATAAATCCGATATGGAATTAATATTGCGATGCATGATTCATATATAATCGGTGTAAAACCGATACCACGATGTTTTGATTAATTCTTGGTCAGTGTTTCTTCTTGCTCACGGAGTCCCTCTTCGGCAACTCTTCTAAAGACGCCTTTGGATAGGCAGCTGATATTCTAGGATAGGACTGGACCTGCTGATGCTGCTCGTCGTACTGCTTAACTTTCTTCTTCAGTATGTTCCAGAACTCCATTTGTTCCTCCTTCTTCTGCAATTCGATGTCATCTTCTGTCAGTTTTAATTTCTTGCTCCTGCGCAAGCTTGGCTGTTTCTTGACTGTCACCGCCGGTCTGACGATTCGTTTCGTCTTCTCTACTTTGGCCACGTGTTCCTTTGCTTCCTCGTCTTCCACGGTTTCCTTCTTGGCCTCCGATTTATCCTCGGTCGGTGTTTCCGCTCTCACCTTCAGCTTCCTCTCGATGGCCCACGAGCTGAGCTTCTTCGCCAGCGCCTTCTCCTGCCAAGCACGTATCTCCTTCTTGGCTTCCTGCAGCTCGCGTCGAAGTACGTTCGGCGGGGTGTTTTTCGCTGCCAAGATCTTCCTCCTGGCCGCTGGAGATGGTACAGGGATATGAATGATATAATCGGTCAATCGTCTGAACCACTTGTTATCCATGATGAACGATCTGCTCTTCTCGGGGACGTCATCGGCCATCATTTTGTGTTCCTTCATCCTCTGCAATTGTCTTGCCTTTCGTTCCGCTGCAACGGGGATAATTGATTTTTTAAATCGAGATCGTGATCTGATCAGAGGATATTTAATTCTGCGATAGAAAGTCGCTGGAGGCTTATTAATATTGGAAACTATCAGAAGAGTTCAATTTAATAGCTTTCGAATTTTTATATCTGCACTTGTTAATACAGGTGTTGGTATGGAACCTAAACTTGGTATAGAAACAATATGGAAACGATATAAAATCGTATAGAATTGATATAGGATCAAGGTAGAACCGATATACACTCCCTGTATAAAAGATAGCACACCTGTGCCATTTTTAATTTTTGGCAGCCTTTAATTAAATAGACTAACTTGATCTCCATATCCTGAAATCGTCTTTCTTTCAATTTATTGGCTTTTGAATTTTTGAATTTTTGAATTTGCAGTTGTTACTATAGGTGTTGGTATAGGCCCTAAACTCGGTGTACATACAATATGGAAGGGATATAAAATCGTATAGAACTGGTATAGGACCAATGTAGAACCGATATATACTCTCTGTGTAAAAGATAGCATACCTGTGCCATTTTTAATTTTTGCCAGCCTTTAATTAAGCAGGTTAACTTAATCTCCTTAGCCTAAAATTGTAATGTTATCATTCGATAAAATTGAAAAATTATGTATACGTCACCTGTAAACTAGAAATTAACATAAATCCTTTTCACCTTGAAGTGTAGAACCAACATCAAACCGATATAAATCCGATATGGAATTAATATTGCGATGCGTGATTCATATATAATCGGTGTAAAACCGATACCACGATGTTTTGAACTTCTATTTCTGTCTAGGCCTTCAGTGATTTCAGCTTGAAAGCGTGGAACAACTGTTTCGACTATTAGCAGATGTAATACCCACGCGAGCGTAACTTCTCGATTACCCTAAACGAATGTAGCTCATAAATTTCAATTAAGTCCAGTATCTTTGTAACCTTGTTACGAATCAAGGTTCCTGTCTGGGAGAACGAACTATTCCGTGCACGCGATCCTTCCCCGGCACTCTAATTAATTCCATCCCAATTTGTAACCGCGAAACTCGCATAGCGACTCGACCGCTCTTTGTAATTCCCTGGACCACCCGATACCTGATTTCCATAATCTCCAATCAATCTCTATCCGCTCGACAAAAGCAGGGACAAGAAACGGGAAGCAACAAACGAGGATGACAGAAGGAAACACGAGATAGAGGGCAGTGTCGTCGCTGACACGAGACTTCGCTCGGCCAATGCAACACGTTTCAGCGACGTACAATGGGAAATGGAAAAATTGCTTTCGTGACTATCGTCGATATGGAAATGAATCCTAACACCTGGAATACACGAGCGCTTTACTCGCTGCGTAACAATACAGACAGGAAGTCAAGATGATTTGACGAGCTATTGAGAATAAAGTTTAAGTTTGAACTGAAATGATTGACATTCGTAATGAAATGATTGACATTCGTAATTATACGATTAACACTATTGAATTGACAGCGTACTGCCAGTTTCTCGCGACAGAAAATTCACTGTATACTAATTAGAATTGGGATTAGATGGAATAAATGATCGAAGGTATAATACTGACAATAAAATTTAAGTTTCAATTGAAACGATTGACATTCGTAATTGTACGATTGACATTATTGAATTGACAGCGTACTGCGAGTTTCTCGCGTCAGAAAATTCACCGTGTCTTAATTAATGTTGGGATTAGGCGGAATAAATGATCGAAGGTATAATATTACGAAGTGGTAATAGTTTACTGTTTACTGTTCCATTCGGTATGCGAAAATAGCAAATAGGGTATATGTCAAGCGCTATGTCATTTAATCGGATTAATATAGGCCAATAGTCGATGAACAGAGACAATTAAGGAGTAGGGCATTTTGGTGATGCTGTGAAATTGATGGAACGTCAGGCATGACTGATGGTAGAATAAATGGTTCGAATGATTTAGGCAGTCGAGCAAAATGTTCTTTGGTCTAGTAAATAATCTACATTCTAGTTTTCGAATTAGTTCAGAGTTTAGGAATAACTTATATCTGAATACCATCAAACTAATATACATTGAGCCTCTAAATAACGTTTCAGTAGCCATTTCATTGGACGCTTGGGAGCCATACACGTCGCAACCTTTCACCTTTAACGAATTATTCTCAAAATATACTCTCAACGAACAGTCAATATGTAATTCCATCCTTAATGGAATTTAGAATAAACACTAGGAAGACACGTTATACCGACAATGAGTGAGTTTTGGCTAACTGTAGCGAGATTAATAGTCCTTTTGTGCAGGAGCTTGGACGTCTATCAGGATATCTCAGTCAAAAATGATTAATACCTAATTCAATTAGACGTATTCCGACAGATCCGAGCTGTATAGTCCTTGCCCTTTGTTGTACCCTGTCACTAATTCATTTGTAGATATGACCATGCGGCCATGTGTCTGTCCTTTGTAATTAGGTGCATTGCTCCGGGGTCAGATGTCAAACCATCTGTGTCCCTTAAATCTTGAGGAATCTAGCAATGCATAGCAATGCATAGCAATGCTCCTGTTATTAGGCTTATACCTTGACACTACTTCTCTGCCCGCAGGGTAATTTGAAACGCAATTGAAATGCAATGTAATAAGAAATTAACAATGCTCAGAAGACTTCAGGGACCCACCTCCACATCCTAAACTTTAAAACAGCTCTCCACCCAAACCAATCATTTTCGTTAATCTACATATTCCATCACACGTTTATCGTTAATACAAATTAATCAATGTCAATTTTTCCTGGTCACAGATTAATTTAAAGCGTATGCAAGGTAATCGAAACTTGAGAATTTTCAAAATTACCAAATATCCAGGTCATAAACATTACGACAACCTTCTATCCTAAACA